GTGTGTGTGTGTGTGTGTGTGTGTGTGTGTGTGTGTGTGTGTGTGTGCGTGTGTGTGCTTGTGTGTGTGTGTGCGTGCTGTTCTAGTCTTTTCCACAAGTTTTTGTCTTTTATATTTTTTAGCCCTCATAATGCATTCACAAAGTGTATTATTTTCACATTCTGGGTCCGAAAGAATCATTATTTTGTAAAACAGTCATAAGTTAATATTTTACAACCATATTGTATATGTTTAGCAACTTCTCATCAATGAGTAAATGTGATAACATTTTTGAATAAATGTTTTTACATTGTATATGTTTAGCAACTTCTCATCAATGAGTAAATGTGATAACATTTTTGAATAAATGTTTTTACTGCATGTAAACTACAGTAAACTACTAGTAATAAACTACTTGAGAAGTTCTTTAAAATTTCAAATTACACATAAACCACACACAAAAAAGAAAAACAAATGCATTATATATATATATATATATAATTTTTTTTTAATCATCATTGATATCTGAGAATTAGCAGTATTAACCCCATTGAAATAAATGGAATTCAGTTCAATTACTTTGAATTTAACTCATGATTGCTCAAAAACAGTCCAAATTTATGAAACCTACATATTTATTTCTAACAAAACAACATCAAATCAACATAAATATTACTCTGAGAAGTTTTCAAACTAAATAAATTAATTTACTTGCAAAAAGTTATATCTCTTAAAAAATTATTGTAAAAAAATCTGAAAATAAATAAATAAATGATGTGTAATTTCAGGGTCTTAAAGCATTTGCAAAGTTTTTAGAAATTGTTTATAATTTTGTGTAAGTATCTGCTATACTGTTAGAAGATCTCACTGATTTACATTTACTGTACATTACGCATTATTTATCGGCTTTAAGATATCGGCCAAATTTTCTTATCAGGCCGATACCGATAACAGAAAAAATGAGCCGATATGGGCCGATACCGATATGGTGGCCGATATATCGTGCATCCCTAGTAATAATCCGTAAAACGGAGTTTCACAAGTTTAATACTAACACTAAAATAAACACTATGATGCTTGACTTTACAACCATAAAATCGGTTAATAGTCTATAGAGTGTTTCATGGTGTTTCAGTAACTGTAATGAATAGAAAATGAGTCACTTTTCCCCCCGAGGTTTGTGATTTCAGAGACTGAATGTTGCTTTTGTGCTGCGTTTCTCAGCTGCCAGTTAACATGCTGTGATGAACAGAAGTCTGTACATGTGAACCACAGAGAGAGAGGCCTGTGCAGTTTAAGACGGTCTTAACACCGTTTTAATGAAAGCATGTGCTCGATAGAGAAATGCTGAAGGGATTTCGCTGTGTTTACAGCATCTGTGTGTGAAAGTGTGTGTGGGACGTTTTGAGATCAGCCCACACACACCGCAGCAAAAAATAAGCAGCTTTGGATTGGACGCACAGCTCAAATAGGACATTTTTTCACCTTCGCTCGGTCCAGCTACTCGTCACTTCATACGTAACACTTTAAGTAGGTTAGAGAGCGATTTGGAGGAAAAATGAGCACCATTGCTCAGATATTGTGTGTTTTTGCCTTGAAGGATCATGTTGTTTGATGCGTTAATGCACACGCAGATACGGAGCAAAACCTATCATCATTCACCCTAAAATCAAATGAAATTATATTTTGCATGAATACAATGAAGCCTTTTTCCATTATGACTTTACTTTCAGGACAATTAAGTAGATTTAAATTAAATTCTTTCTAATGTAAAGAGAAAAATGCATTTTTATTTATAGATTGTGCTGTATTTATTGGTTAGGATGGGTTCTTGTTGAATGCTGAAATAAAATAAAATACAAAATCAAATATATTCTCATTTTCGTTTAATTTAAGTTACTAAATTTTAAGTTTAGTACAGTATATAGACATATTAAAAAAGTGACAAAAACACAACAAAAATGCTAAAACTTTAACTAAAATGAAAACGAAAACAGAAAATATAAAAAAATTTAATCTAATTGAAAATATTAACAAAAACTATAATAATATATTAGTACACTAAAATAGCACTGAGTCAGAAATATATCCATCAAATTGATTAATTAGGTGTTTTTTGAGGTGATCAACTTAGATTAAGTAAGTGTTCACTTCTTATTCCTAAATCTACAGTTTTATGCATAATGGACTTTAAAAAAAAGGGCGAAATTTGAGAAAATATTGTGTAAAAATTAAATATTGTTTTTTTTTTAATATGCATTTTGTGTGCGTCTCATTAGCTTGGATAAATGTATTATATGTGCATTTTGGCATGATATCAGCCGTTCTAGTGTAATAAACTGCAATGGTTATGAAGAATTAGTCAGAGATGGAAGAAATTAACTGTTAATAACGATTTACAAAAAAGCAGCTTCACAGTAATGAACATTAAAAATAACAGTATTAATTACAGTGTTAAATTAATCAATTATAAAACAAATTTGATTAAAGTAGCTCTAAAAAAGACAGTAGTGGCATTATTCATTATCAAATCAGTTCAATGGTATTATTTGCATTTTAAACCCCAGTAATTATTAGTAACATTATATTTACTTTTTTCAGCGGATATGGCATTATTGTGCCGTATGAAACTCGGTTTTATAAAGTTTTCCTTTCATCAATAGTTCCATATGAAACGTTCCGTTGCATTCATATACTTCACCAGAAAGTGACATATTTCTAAAATACAAACATGTTCTGTAACACAAGCTACCAGCTCATTATTGAATTGAATTGGATATACTTTATACCCATTTTTTGAGACATTTGTCTTGGACTTCACATGACACGGCCAGTTATCAACATTGTGAACTCACATAACACATGCAGGATCACATAATTCAACTTACAGTACAAATAAAAATATAAATATTGCAACCTACTGCATGCCTAGACTTAAAAATCCAAATTTTGGAATTCTCTATTTAATAATTTAACTAAAATTAGCACAAAAGATGTTCCGTAACACAAAGTACCTGCTCATTAGTTTTAGTGTTCTGCCACCTGCTGGTGAAATGTGAGAAGTTTTTTTGAATAATCTGATATTTATCACAATATTCTTAAAATATTAAATGATTAAAATATTGTAAAATAATCCATTTTTTTATTTTGCATTTTGACTTATAACCAGAGCTCTGATTATTTGCTTTGATTATTTGTTATACTCTATTTGAATATGTTTTAAACCAGTAAGGATTATAAATAGTGACGTGTTTCATCAAAGTGGTTCATATGTGTTATGAATTTGAACTCAAAAACTAATTAAATATGGCTGATATGTAGATTTGATTGCACACACACATACACAGAAACATGTCTGTCAGTGTAATACAGGACTGTTCTGACTCTTTCTGCAGCATTATTGTGTGTGTTTTTGCTGTATTATCTGCTGGTTAACCTGCTTTACTTGTGTCAGTCAGTGTGTGACGGTGTGTTTGTCAGCGATCATGATGAGTGTGTGATTTCAGCCAGAGTCATGAGTGGATGCAGTCAGCTGTTTGGATGACTCTCTGTGTGTGTGTGTGTGTGTGTGTGTGTGTGTGTGTGTGTGTGTGTGTGTGTGTGTGAGTGTGTGCGCGTGTGCGAGTGTGTGTGAGAGTGCGTGTGTGTGTGTGTCTGTGTGTGAGTGTGTGTGTGTGCGTGTGTGTGAGTGAGTGTGTGTGAGTGAGTGCGTCTGTGTGTGTGTGTGTGTGAGTGTGTGTGTGTGTGTGTGTGAGTGTGTCTGTGTGTGTGAGTGTGTCTGTGAGTGTGTCTGTGTGTGTGTGTGTGTGTGTTTTCGGAAGAGCACTGATCTGATGAATAATCCAGGACTGATGTCATCGGTAATATTTAATGTCTCCCTGTTTTGCTCATTATTTGATCAGACTGTAAATGTTTTTAGATATTTAGATGTGTAAATTATTGGTGCTTATAATAATAATTATATATTTTAAAAAAATTAATTAGAATTTATTTTTTATAATTCCATTTTTTTTAGTATTTAAAAAAAAGACTAATGATTTATTAGTATAATTAGACTGCCTCCTTCTTTTTGACCTGCATTCTCTCTCAGACCTCGCCCTCTAGAGACAGCTCAGCCAATCCCAACATGTAGGCTTCAGGGATAATCATATTTGATGTTCATTTTTTTTATTGAAATAAAACGTTATCTTATAATTTTTCATTTTGTTTTTTAAGAAATTTTACACAAAATTGGTTCTTTTTTATTAGCTTTTTAATCAACTTTTTGTTAACTTTTTTTGTAATTTTTTTTATTATTGTTATTTATAAATCTTTTTTATTATAATATATGTTTAGATATATTTTTCTATTAAAATAAACACATTAATATGCATTATTATTATTATTATTTATTTGTTTGTTTATTATTACTATAAGCAGACTGCCTCCATCCTTTTGACTCGCCTTCTCTCTTATTTCTATTTTATGCTTTTTTATTTTAAAATATTTTAATTCTGTCTTTCTTTCTTATTTTCATGGTACACTAAATTTGACCAAAAATATTATTATTAAAATATTTTATTATCATTATTCATAAAGTTATACTTTTTGTATGAAATTTTATTTTTATTTATCTTTTAATATGAACATTTTAATAACTTTAAAAAAATAGTTGTATTATACAATGTAATTTTTACATTGCCAATGGATCGCCTCTCACTGAATTAAACATGCAATTAAGCGAGGTCATGTGACAACAGTGCAAACAGTGCATACTAGTGGTGCATGTAGTGAGCAGTATGCTAGTATTCCATTCTGAACACAGCCGTGTGCGAGGCTCCTCCCCCTGCCTTCCTCCACCCAGCGATGTGGGCGGAGCTTCATCAGTAATAGCTCATCCCAGCATCTCTCACACACACACACAGGGAGGGGTCGTGTGCCGCTGGAGGCTGTGTCAGAATGAGGCAGTGTGGGAAAGCGTGACGATATGTTGAGGAAGCTGGTGTGCCGGAGGATCTGCGCCTGTAAGCGTCTCTCTGTCTGAGCACTGCATGAGCGGAGGGACGAGACAGACAGACAGACAGAGACACACAGCTGTAGCTCTCTGTGATAGTGACTCACATCTGTCTGTCTGTCTCTCTGCCTCTGTCTTTCTGAAATCTGATCGCTGTGATTAAATGCTGCATGCAGACCGCATGTGTGTGTGTGTGTGTGTGTGTGTGTGTGTTTTGCATGTATGTCCTGAAAACCTGCATTATGGAAAATGCTTAATAGACATAATGTATTCATTAAGATATACAAATGCCTTGTGAGGGTTAGAGGACAGAAAGTGTCATTTTCTCAGTGTAAAAACAAGAACAAAAGTGTGTTTGTAGACAGAAAAGTGCATTATTAACTAGACTGCCTCCATCCTGTTGACTTGCCTTCTGTATATTTATTTTTATGCTTTTTATTTTTAAATAATCATTTGACATCAAATTGGACCAAAAATTATTTAAATTTTTTATTTTATATTAAAATCATATTTTATGTATGTTTTATATTAATATTTCAATAATAGTTTATTAATTATTTTATTTAATTAAATTATTTACTTAATGTCCTTGTAACCTGTATTATAAAATGTTCAATTGAAAATGCTTAATAGACATGTAAAATAACATATTAATTAAAATATACAAAATATAAGAACAAATGTATGTTTGCAGTTGTCTCCAGAAATAGCATTATTATTATTATTATTATTATTATTAGTCTGCCTCCATCCTTTTGCCTTTTGTATTTTTATTTTTATGCTTTTTAAAAATTTTAAATAAGATATTTAAATTTTTTCTTTTTTCTTCTTAATTTTCATTTTACACAAAATCGGACCACAAAAATGATTTTTTATTAAAAAATAAATATTATTTTTATTTTTTATTTTTTATTAGTATTAATTATATTTTTTTATTTTCATATTTAAATTATATGTTATATGTTATGTATTAATATTAAAATTTGTATAATAAGCATATTTTCTTAATGATTTTATTTATTTGATTAAATTATTTAATTCATTTATGGTTACCAAATATCCTCACAATCTGCCTTGTGGAAACTTTCAGTGGAAAATGCTTAATAAACCTGTAAATAACGTATTAATTAAAATATGCAAATTGTTTGTGAGGGTTAGAGGACAGAAAATGTCATTTTCTCCATGTAAAAACAAGAATATTTGTACAAATGTGTGTTTGCAGACAGAATTGTTCTCAGAAATTGCTTGAAACATTTTGGGGGTGTATCATAAATCATAAATTAAGTGAATGATGTTTTAAGTTCTCTTTTTGGGGTCAGAGAAGGTTTTGAGTCTGTTTTTTATGTAAAAATAATAGATGTTTGTGGTTTAGATGTCTGGATGAATGTGTGCTTGTTTCCCTGGAGGTTTCTGGAGTAGTTCAGAGCATGTTAGAGGGCCATTCGCAGTGAAGGATTGAGGAAGAGAGGTGTTGACACTAATGCATGATGAATAAGGTCGGGAGTGTGTGTGTTTATAAATAATTCATGGCGATTGATCGCTGGTCTGGCAGATTTTGGTGATGTTTCCTCACGTGAGCGGCTCTGCCGGGGTTTCCTGAGCTGCTGAGTGAAGGAGGTGACGTCCTTCAGATTCACACACACACACACACACACACACACACACACACACACACACACACACACACACACACACACACACACACACACACACTTAAAATACTTTCTTTTCTATGAGTGTAGGCACACCGGCGGCGTCTGTCTGCGGCACCCAGCTACGTCGTGTTATACTTGTAAGAATTGTTCTAGACATGCCGAAAATTTGAGGCTACAGCACAGCAGCACTTCTTCTTGGTTTTCTCTGATGCACTAACTCTGCTGCAGCACTTCTTCTTCATCGTCTCGTCTGATGCACTCACTCAACCAAGCGTTCTAACCTCGCCCCTCCCCACCCCCCAACCATTCACATTTCTGTAGGTGGGAATTATTGGTAATGATATTCCAATGAGCCGCTTTGTGACATCACAAAGACCGGAAAACAAACACTGTAGTCCAAACGAGCCGTTCGTTGTAGTTCTTGAAAAGGGATTTTTAAAAAACGAAATATCTCTCTTTGGAGTGGACTTTGAGATTTTTTTGCACCCTCAGATTGCAGATTTTCAAATAGTTGCATCTCAGCCAAATATTGTCCTATCCTAACAAACCATACATCAATGGAAAACTTGAAAACTTAAAAACGTAACGAGAACTAAAAATTGACTTATGACTGGTTTTGTGGTCCTGGGTCACATATGTGCATGTGGAAAAAAGCATATATAAACCTAATAATAATGATAAAAACAAAAATTAATAAAATTACTTCTACAAATTACCCTTTAAAACCATTAAACCTTAAAAAACAAACACTACTAAAATGACAAAAGCATGTTACAAGATTTAAAAAAATTGCATTAAAATTAAAATGCTAATATAAAAGGCAAAATATTTATAAGAACTATAATGGTGTATAAATTGTGTTTTCTCTGTCATTCCTCAGATAAGAACATGGATGATGAGGATTCTGTGGATGGAGGTCGTTCCTCATCATCGGTGCGTATATACAGTATATATATATATAAAATATTAAATATATATTTAAAACTTATTGGACATATTGATTGTTCTTATCAGGTAAGGAGAGCTCTAGTGCCGGTGCTGTTGATGAAGAAGACTTCATCCGTGCCTTTGAAGATGTGCCCGCCGTACAGGTAAGCATTAGTAGGCTTCGTAACGCTAATATGTTCAACAATGTTAGGAGTCAGTAAGATTTAAAAAAAAAAAAAAAATAATATTAGTATTAGCAAAGATACATTAAATTGATCAAAAGTGACAGTAAAGACATTTATAATGTTGCAACAGATTTCTATTTCCAATAAATACGGTTCTGTTGCACTTTCTATTCGTCTGTGAGTCCTGAAAAATAAAATGCTTCACGCTTTCCATATATTTGGCATATGGCAGCACAACTGTTTTCAACATTGATAATAATCAGAAATGTTTATTGAGCAGCAGATCAGCATATTATAATGATTTCTGAAGGATCATGAGGCACTGAAGACTGGAGTCAGCTTTGATCACAGCAATAAATTACACTTTAACAGATATTCACATAGAAAACAGCTGTTTTAAATCATAATTTTTACTTTATTTTTGATCAAATAAATGCAGCATTGGTGAGCAGAAGAGACTTCTTTCAAAAACATTAAAAACCTTACTTTTTATTTAACCAGGAAAGAAAACTCTCTGAGATTAAAATATCTTTTGCAGGAGTGTCCTGGCCAAGATAGGCGGCCCAAATTAACAAATACATATAACAAACAGTAACATACAATACACAATAACTGACCCCAAACTACATCCAAATGCATCTGTGTGTCAGTAACTCAAGGAATCATCAATACATATGTTCAACAATGTTAGGAGTCAGTAAGATTTAAAAAAAAAAAAAAATTATATTTGTATTCAGCAAAGATACATTAAATTGATCAAAAGTGACAGTAAAGACATTTATAATGTTGCAACAGATTTCTATTTCCAATAAATACGGTTCTGTTGCACTTTCTATTCGTCTGTGAGTCCTGAAAAATAAAATGCTTCACGCTTTCCATATATTTGGCATATGGCAGCACAACTGTTTTCAACATTGATAATAATCAGAAATGTTTATTGAGCAGCAGATCAGCATATTATAATGATTTCTGAAGGATCATGAGGCACTGAAGACTGGAGTCAGCTTTGATCACAGCAATAAATTACACTTTAACAGATATTCACATAGAAAACAGCTGTTTTAAATCATAATTTTTACTTTATTTTTGATCAAATAAATGCAGCATTGGTGAGCAGAAGAGACTTCTTTCAAAAACATTAAAAACCTTACTTTTTATTTAACCAGGAAAGAAAACTCTCTGAGATTAAAATATCTTTTGCAGGAGTGTCCTGGCCAAGATAGGCGGCCCAAATTAACAAATACATATAACAAACAGTAACATACAATACACAATAACTGACCCCAAACTACATCCAAATGCATCTGTGTGTCAGTAACTCAAGGAATCATCAATACCGCAGCAATGACATCTGTAATGTGGAGTGTCAGCCTGGACTCTGCATTCAGTGGTTTTCCATCAGAGATCTCTGGACAGATGCCAGTGTTCAGTGAGTTTGATGACACTGTTCTTTCTCACAGATTTACTCGGCTCGAGAGCTCGAGGACTCCATGAACAAGATCCGAGAAACTCTGTCCGATGACAAACACGATTGGGAACAGCGAGTAGTTGCAGTGAGTGATTTCATATTTATAATGGAATAAAATGGGTGCTTGTTACTCATCTCTCTGCAATACTTGATTGTGATTGGTCGATGGCATCATTCTGTGGTCACGTATTTGTGTATAATGACTCTAAACCATATAATTATTTATTGTTTCAGTGATTTTATACAGAGCTGTGCTAGTTTCATGTCTCTCGTTTTCTTTCTTCTCACATAATATACAAATAATCAACAAATAATGTAAACTCAAATCAATATTTAATGTCCATCATTTATTCAGTTGTTTAGTAAGAAGGGAAATGTGAAGTCAACTGGTCATTATTGCAAAATTATGGAAGCCATTTCTTCTCAATTCTGAGTTTGTATCACAATTCTGAGTTTAAATCTCAATTCTGAGTTTATATCTCGCAATTCTGAGTTTATATCTCGCAATTCTGAGTTTATATCTCACAATTCTGAGTTTATATCTCGTAATTCTGAGTTTATATCTCGCAATTCTGAGTTTATATCTCATAATTCTGAGTTTATATCTCGTAATTCTGAGTTTATATCTCATAATTCTGAGTTTATATCTCATAATTCTGAGTTTATATCTCGCAATTCTGAGTTTATATCTCGTAATTCTGAGTTTATATCTCACAATTCTGAGTTTATGGGCCCTATTTTAACGATCTAAGCATATGGTCTGAAGTGCATGGCGCAGGTGCAATTAGGGCGTGTCTGAATCCACTTTTGTTAGCTTAACAACGGGAAAAATGGTCGGCGCTACATTTATGCTGCCTACACAATAATAATATTTTACAATGTAATCCTTTAATTTTTTATATTTGGCATGCTTGTGTGCTGCTGCGCGTCCCTGTGTGTGTAATAAGCAGAGTGTACGCATGTTGTAGACCCATCTATAGGCGCATATTACTAACGCACTCTTTAAATAACAAAAAATACTGCTCCATTGAATTTAGACCAGGTTTTTGTTGGTCAATGGTGCAGTCTATTTAAGTTGCCTCAAAATAGCAACGCGTCAACAAGGCGCTTGAACACACCTTGTTTTCAGACCAGCACACCCATGAGCGAACAGATGGGTGCAAATGCGTTTGCTATTTAAACAATGTGGTGCTGGACGTGAAAATGATAACTGCGTCGGGCTGAAACTAGCAAAAAACATTTGCCGCATTACGCCAGCTGTTTTGAGTTTATATCTCAATTCTGAGTTTATATTTAAATTTTTAGTTTATATCTCAATTCTGAGTTTATATTTAAATTTTTAGTTTATATCTCAATTCTGAGTTTATATTTAAATTTTTTGTTTTTATCTTGCAATTCTGAGTATATCTCAATTCTGAGTTTATATCTTGTAATTCTGAGATTATATCTCACAATTCCATTAATATCTCATAATTCTGAGTTTTTATCTTGTAATTCTGAGATTATATCTCGTAATTCTGAGTTTTTATCTCGTAATTCTGAGATTATATCTCACAATTCAGTTTATATCTCGTAATTCTGAGTTTTTATCTTGTAATTCTGAGATTATATCTCAATTCTGAGTTTATATCTCAATTCTGAGAATATTTATCTAAATTTTAAATGTATATCTCGATTCTGAGTTTATACCTCACAGTTCAGATTTTTGTTTCTCAGAATTGCTAGAAAAAGTCAGAATTGTGAGAGATAAACAACTAACCTTTTTTTAAAATCCTATGGTAGAAACAAGCTTCTATACAAAATAGAGATTTTCAGAATGATGCAAGTCCATTTTGTCATGTTTATTTTGTAAAGTACGATCAAACTGGTCGTTATCACATCAATCCAGTATTATGGGGTCATGTTATTTGAATGTGACCTTTGACCCATTGATTTGTTCATTTACAGCTGAAGAAGGTTCGTTCTCTGCTGTTAGCCGGCGCGAGCGAATACGATGGTTTTTCGCAGCAGTTACGGCAGCTGGAGGGGCCGCTCAAACTCTCGGCTAAAGATCTGCGCTCGCAGGTGGTGCGCGAGGCCTGTATCACACTCGGGTGAGTGAAATGTTTGTTTTTAGAGTAAAAGATACTTCAATAAAAGCTGCTTCATCTCCTGAATTGTTTTCTGCAATGATAATCTGTTTTATCCACTGATAGGCTTTCAAATATACATACAACTTTTCCGGTTTGATGCAGTTGCTGGTATAAACCCCCTTACCAAAAAGCAGTATACTTCACGTTTATTTTATTAAGTATACTTAAGTAAAGTTCATGTATATTTTTAAGTATACTTTATGTAGTAAGTATACAAATATCAGTGAACTAGTAGTATACTTGTAAGTGTACTATTTCAATACTCCTTGGGACTAAATCGGCCCACTTTCTAGTATATAAAAGTATACTTTTAAGTATAACAATAGTAAACTTTAAGTTTACATCTATGTTTTTAGTTTGTATTTCAACTATACTAAAAGTGAACTTATAGGTATACTGGTAGTGTACTAATTAAATATTTGTAGCATTTTTAGTACACTTTGAAGTATAGTCTCAGTAAACTACTAGTTTAGTAGTTTTATACTGCAAGTATACTCGTAAGATTTCTTTAAGTGAACTTTACATCATACTTTAAGTATACTACTATGTCCCTGTTTAGGTATTCATTTGTATATATTTTGTTATATGAATATCTGAACATACAAAACATCAGAAGAACAGGGTATCTGCTTGTAAACAAAAACATTTTATTCTAGCTTCATGCATTCTTTTTTTATAAACACTTGAATGTGGATAAGTTTTCTAAATAAAAAAAAAGAAAAAGAAATAAACAACATTTTGAACAAAAAGCTGACAAAGACTATGAATTGGATTCAGAATGATAATAAAAACGTAGATGGAGTCGATCAACACCCCAAAGCTTGACAGTCATTATAACCTCTTCATTGGTCGACATTTTATTCCATAACGTTGCACAGTTTTGATGCTGTTTTATGTCTGATGATCGTGTTAGAATACATGTGGAGGCATCTGTTGTTTCGGTTTCTTCTTCACTTGTGTTGTTTTGGAAATTCTGTACAGAAGATGTGTAATAGCGCCCCCTACAGTATAACAATGAAAACACGGATTCTTGGAGCACAAGTAGCTCAAATATATTTACACATTTTCTAAGTATAAGTCAAGTATACTTAAATGCAATTTTAAGTATATTCCTGAGAAGTACATGAAGCCCATGTCTGAGAAGTACTTAAAAAGTAGACTGAAAGTATACTTTCCTATTTTTTAGTTTAAAAGAACTATACTAATTGCACACTTGAATAAACTTCTTTTTCGTAAGGGCCATCATCCCATTCAGCCCTAGTTGGTGCTGACAGACTTAGTTTAATGAAAATAATCAATTCGTTTAAGTGGTCTGGTTTCAAACATTGGACGGATTCCAGCATCGTAAGATCTGCTGCACTTCATGATGGAGCAGAGAATGTGAAGCACTTAGTGTGCATGAAAACACACACTCTCATTAGACCGTCGGGCTCTGTTTCAAACCATAGGCAACTACCTTCATAGGCAACATCACAGCTGAAATGGAGCCACAGAAATGACTGATTTGGAACACAAATATAGCTCCTCATTTAAAACGCACAATTGAGTTCAAGTTAGCATTTTGTTTAACTAATGACATGATGTTCTAATAAGCACAAATATTGGGTAAAATAGTGCATTTTAATTGTATTTAAATTTTTGCATTACTTTTTTTTTTTTAATTTACAATAGTGCATTTTAATTGATAAAAAATGTTCTACTCTTGATTGTAATGTAGAAACATACACTTCCTGTAAAGCTGCTTTGAAATTATACTTCTGGTGAAAAGAGCTATACAAATAAACATAAATTGAATTGAATTATTTCAAATTTATTTTTAAATATGATATAAATATAAGTCAATATTTGTTGTCTTTTATTGATATTTTGCATGAGGTTTTAAGTGTTAATTAAATGTTTTATATATTATGTAAATATAAAATATAATTTTAAGTGTCAATTAAATATATTTTTATTATTATATATTAATATGAATATAAATACTTTAAAATATTTTATTGGTACTTTTCAATATGGCATGAATTAATTTGTTAATAAAAGCATATTCCTAAATATTATGTATAAATATATAAATGTTATATATAAATATAATTCAATATTTGTATTGATAGTTTTCAGTTTAGCATACATTTAATTGTTGATTAAATATATTTTTAAATGTTATATAGATTTTTTTCAGTATTTCATGAATTTAAGTGTCAATTAAATATATTAAAATATTATAAATATTATTTATAAATATTATAGTTATATAATAAGTTATATACACACACACACACATATATAAATATATGAAGTTTATTTATAGTCTACTTTATAATTCTCTGCAAAGAATAAATGCAATGCTTAGACTGAAATGAGGTATCTAAGAAGGCATTATGGTTATGACAGCCTCAAAATGCTCACTAGGTTTTGAAACAAAGTTTAAGTGTTCTGTGTTAGTCTGATCTCTGATGTGTCTCTTCCAGGCACCTGTCGTCTGTGTTGGGTAATAAATTTGATCACGGAGCCGAGAACATCATGCCAACGTTACTGAACCTCGTCCCCAACAGCGCTAAAGTTATGGCCACATCTGGAATGGCGGTGATTCGTCTCATTATACGGGTTTGTGTAAACACGCACACACGCACGCATGTGTGCGTGTGTGTGTGTCACCTCCTCCTGATCCTCATCTGTGTCGTCGTCACTAACGACAGGTTTCGCTCGTGTTCTCGCAGTTCTCCTGCGTCCTCTGCCGCGCTCTGTGCTTCTGTCCTTGCGGCTCAGTTTAATCTTCACCTTCACGGATCGAGCTGCACACACACACACACACACACACACACACACACACACACACGGGCAGCTGATGCTCTGTGTGACATGCAGTCAGGCGTGATGTTGGATTCAGGGCAGCAAACATAATCAATAAGATTGATCTGCATGTTAGTTGTGTCTCTTCCAGTATCCTGCACATGTTTAGTGTGGATTTGATGAACATCACAGTAGTTAGAAACATCCCAGAGTGCTTCCTGTTGAAGTATTTTCTATTCCTGATGCTGTCCAAATCAGTTTTACATCAAAATAATTGAGTCTGTGCAGCACAGCTTGGTCTGTGAATTTGTCTGCAGCGTGAGCTACTCAATATATATATATATATATATATATATATGTGTGTATGTGTGTGTGTAGCTTTACTATTATTTCGTATATATATATATAGGCTATATACTGTGTGTGTATATGTTACGGGGCTGACGAGACGTGAGATGTGCGGATCCATGTGC